ATATATATATATATATATATATATATATATATATATATATATATATATTCCTTTTAAAGATCGCAGCTTGAACAAGAAGGCGGGTTATTTTGGAGAAAAATATCGCAGGATATTTTCGCGGGAAATAGAACATACCGCGGGAGAATCTCGCGGGTTGCTCCTGTCGCGGAGTGAATATTAACGATATTCCGTCTTTAAGTATCACGTCGCAGCGAAACCGGCGGTTCTCTCTACATGATACTTTCGCAAGACCGACTAGATGGAGAGAAAAACAGAAAGAGAAGGAGGTAAAGAGAGAGAGAGAGAGAGAGAGAGAGAGAGAGAGAGAGAGAGAGAGAGAGAGAGAGAAAAAGAAAAAAGCGTGCCCTGACGTGTCCCTGGAAAAATAGAGACTCGCGGGTTAAAGCTGTTTTTATCGTGTTTTATCGTGCGGTTACATTCTCGTTTTTGTTATGCTGTTGGCCGATACACCTTGATACAGAAAGGTGAAAACCCCGCTTCTCTATATCGGATCGCACACGAGGGCATTGACATCAAGGAGAAATACACCGCGCGTCGCGATAACTGTCGCTGCGTCCGATCGGTAAATCGTTAATCGCGTCACTTGTAATACGCCGTTCGTGAGTCAGTATTTACCAAACAATAGCTGTACTTTTATTGGAAGACAATGTCATTCTCTCTCTTTCTCTCTCTTCCCTTCCTTCCTCTCCCTCTCTCTTCTTGTCACGGATATATCCCCTTCTATTTTCGCGGATATATTATTGACATCTTATGATTGACACTTCCGTGCGCATTTTCGTCGGCATGCAACGCGATTTCTTCTCATTCCGTTTGGTCTCGCGCGCGCGATGTCCAATTCACCGAAAAACGATAATCACGTGTAAATTTTGTTAACGACATCGTCCCGGCGCGACACAACGGCGGCAGTCCCGATGGAAGCATGTATCCGCCAAATTTTGTCCGCCAAATCCGTCGTGTCTTTAATCGCTCCGTCAATATTTCACACACGTTACGATTGCTTTCGGTCTTCTTCCCCACTTCGTTTTTTCGTTTAATCCGCCGTGAAAGATGCGCATATCACGCGTCACGTTGAGAAGTGACACGTGCACGGAAAAAAAGCCTCAGTATGCGACTGAATAGGGACCAGACGAGGGACTCGTTGATGGGAAATGATATTTCTGTTACTGTGACTGGGGACACTCGTCTGAACATTCAGCTGCATTAAAACTCGACTGAGATAACTGAGAGCAATTAGCCGTGTAGAAACCTCCTACAGGAATCTTCCTGTTCCTACAACTGGGCTTTTCATCTGGTCCCCAGATAATAGAAGGGTAAAAGGAGAATTCACAGTTACACTAACATTTTTTTCCGTATGCACACTCGGGAAATGTTATTTTTCTGGACAGCGAGAGAAATGACAAGATCTCAATGAATTAGAAGTCTCACGATTATAAATTAAGACGTCACGTAGTAAATATTTCAAGTATAAATTCGTTTCTATCTCCGTCGTTGTGTATAATTTCGTGGAAGTGTAATTTCGCATAGCTTATAATCTTAATCACGTTTTCTCAATTTATGCCACTTCTACGTATGACACGATGTTTCATTAGCATGAAAAATTCTTGGTGCAATTAATCAGTTTCAGCAATGAGGTAATAATTTCGAAAACTAACATTTTTCGTAAAAGGATGAAATTTATTTTTACTTTCCTAAATGGTAACACATTTTCTTTTATCCGTGGTATTGAATCAAAATAAATTCAATAGTAACTCATAATGTTATTTTTATGAACATTTGACAGTGGATGTGCAGACAGAAGATACGATAACGTTCGGAATACAACGTAATGAATAATATCAGGCAGTACACATTCGAAATGTAATCCATTTTCCGTAGCGCAAAGCTCCGGCCTTTGTAGAGTTTTGTATATCGCATCAATTAAAATATTTTGATTTGCGTTTCTGCATGCTTGTGTTGTACGTTGTTGGGGCTGCTCATTATCATTTTGCTATGCCCCCTCTTGCTGTAAAACAGCAATAAAGGTAACATTATGACTTACTATTGAATTTGTTTTGATTTATCTTTATAATAATGCTAATAAAAAAAAAGATATGACACTATTTAAAAAAGTGACCTCAATCTTTTTGCGAAGAAAGAATGTTTCTGAAATTTTTATTGTTACATTTTATTGCCGCTTAAAGACTGATTAATTGCATCTACAATTTTTTCTTGCCCGATCACTGTAATTGATAAAATATAATGGATACCGTTACGGTGTGAACATTTTGTATATACATTTTTACCAGAATTCATTGGGAGATATCGTATCGGTTGGCACAATCGATATGTTCGCATTTTCTTGCATTGTTGCAGAATCGATTGAAATTCAGACGAGTTCGAAATTGTTAATTTTAGAATTTTATTGCAATTTTGGTATTATTACAATTCCAGAATTAATCTTAAAATCAGGTGATTTTATCCAGCGCAAGGTGTATATGTGTGTGTGTGTGTGTGTCATGTTAGTGCGTGGTCGTGTTAAACGTTCAGTTTCTTCCTCCTCTACTCCTTTCTTTTCCGAGTAGCGCCGCGAGAGAAAAACAATGTACGGGGGAGGGGGGAACATGTTGCGCGAGAGCAAGTTGAAGATTACCTGCACGTCCCGCGAGAAATAATTGTTGGTATAGATGTGCACCGCCTCGAAGACCAGCGTTGCTTCGAACTCGAAGATGAGCTCCACGAAGTTCTCCACGAAAGTGTCGCGCAGCCAAGCGACCCAACCCGTGCCTGTAAGTAACGAGCGCGAAAATAACGCGAATCGAAGTAACCGCGAAGTATCGCGGGACCACCTGGCCGCCTTTCGCTGCGCGAACGAGCGCGATTATCGTGGGGATTTATGCGCGGCGATTTCACGGCCTGATCTTCGCCAGCGACGGAACGTGAATAGAGAGAAAGTTCTCAGGGGCGATTTGAGAAAAACCGACGTTGCGCGCTCCGGAGTCACGCAACGAAATGAAAAGAGACGCAATTAATAACGTCTCGGGGAGGGAAAACTTTATTCTTCGATGAGGCGAGCGCGCAAAGGGATCTTTATACGGCGTACGCAGCGAGAAAATACGTTTGTTGTGAATAATATATCATACTGTATCGCGCGAGATATTGAGATTTATGCATACCGAAGTCAGAATTTATATCAGAGACTTGCAAAAGTTTGTTAGATTTTTAGCTTGTTGGATGTTTCTAGATATTTCGGGAAAAACGGGAAAAATTTTACTTTCAGAAATTGCGAATGGAGGCGTATATTTTTATAGATGAATATTTCGGAAATGAAGATATTCGTTTTTAACAGATATTGAAGAAATAGATGTCTTGCTTTTTAGAAACAAACATTTCTCGTCTCTGTTGAATATCATTCTTATTAATAACAAAAACTTAGTAACAAAATGTGCCATTTAAAGTATCTGTCATCGATGTTCACTTTTTCCTACTATTTTTCAGTTAACTGTCTGATTCTGCGTCTGCAAAATTGACTTGTCTTCTCAAGTCAACGAAATCATCAACGATGGGATAAACTTTTGCATGTCTCTGATATATCACAGTAATTAATGAGTATTTTTTTCAAATTGTTTTTTGTTTTTAATCGATATATAATTCGATATATAATTCATACGAGATAGCTGCTTTCTTCTAAATGTCTCAAAGAACACAAGTATAACCCAGCCGAACAAAACAGTATGATATTGAGTCCGTTAAAATTTTAGTCGAGTTTTTTGAATAAATTCTATATTTATTGCCCAATTTGTCTACTCTAATTTTTGTATTTATTCAACACAAGGCAGATATGCAAATAACACAAATGACACGTCGAAAATTAACGCAAAAACATACCACTTGCAAACTATCGTGTTATTTTAACATTCAATAATGGTGAATACAAACTAAACTGAAAAGTAAACCTACTCAAAAGTTACACTCCGATTTCTTTCTAATTTGGCACAAAAGTAGAAGTACAAAAAATATGTCATATTTTTTCATTTTGGCCCATTTTGAATTTCACGGGCAGTTTATAGTTTTTTAATGTTCTTACTCCTATCATCAACAAATGCAATAAAAATGCTTAAGAAAATAAATTAAACACAAGATATTAAATAATTTTAACAAAATCGGCATAGCTGAGACACGAACCATTCTAAGTTTCTTTAGCCAAGATTCCAACCGAAATATTTCAAATCTGTCAATTAAGTCTAAATTAGTCAAAAATGGTTCTAATCTTGGCCAAACCGAGAAATTATTTGTATAAAAAATAATTTTTAAACTTTTTACATGTCTTGTTTAAACATTTTATTATTTATATATTCTTTATACAAATAATTTTACACATTTGCGCAGATTTGAAATATTTCGATTGGAATCTCGGCTGAAGAAATTCAGAATGATTCGTGTCCAGCTATACCGACTTTGTTAAAATTTTAATTAAAATTACTAGATTTCTCTCAATTTGGTCGAGATTCGCACCATTTTTGACTATTTTAACACAGATTTAAAATATTTTGGTTGAAATCTCGGTTAAAGAAATTTAGAATGGTTCGTGTCTCAGCTATGTCGATTTTGTTAAAATTATTTAATTATATCTTGTATTCAATTTTGTTTCTTATGTATTTTTGTTGCACTTGTTGATGATAGGAGTAAGAACATTAAAAAGCCATAAATTGTGAGACTCAAAGTGGAACCAAAATGAAAAAATATGACCTAAATATTTTTTGTACATCTACATTTGTGTCAAATTAGAAAGAAATCGGAGTGTACCTTTTGGATAGGTTTACTTGTGAGTAAAATAGATAACATCAATATGTCAAATTAACACAAGGGCGTGTTAAAAATTTCTGCACGGATCGATTTCAATACAATTTCAAGACAAGTTTGAATGGATCGTTCTGGACATGTAGAGTGTGTTAAACTTGACACAACATTTTTTACTGCGTGACATCCCCCCAAAAGAAATGTCCTCTCCATGTAATCGATAACACGAGACGCACAACGACCAGGGGCTTCTTCGTCACGGAAGCAGAACCGCGTTGCCCGTCCGGAGCGCCTCCTCTGTCCGGCTGGAGGATCGCCGGTTTCTTCCCCGGTTTCGCGCTGTTTAGCACCGGTTCACTCCCTCGCACGCTCTAAACCAACCACCCACTCCTTACGGGATTACCTTTTCCGTCTCCCATGTCCTGCCTGTAATTATCCGCGCCGACCTCGCCATCGATTAGGCAGCCCAAGCCATCGGTCAACAAGTTGTCCTGCCTCTTACCGTCGTACGAGACGTCGCTGAGCTCCGGCATCGAGGTGTCCGGGATGGTGTAGCTCAGCACGCCGCCTGAAAAACACACGAAAGTTCCCCGCCGGTGAGTTGGACCGCGTGTGTGTATGTGCATGTGACGTACGCGCGCGACAGTAGTGGTTTTCTTTTCAAACACACCCGTCCCGCCAACTTCCGTCGTTACACCCCGGACTCGCCTCTTTCGCGCCATTAGCTCTGTTCCTGTCTCTCCGCCTGCCTCTTTCTTCCTCTCACTCTTCCGCGTCGACTAAATGATTTCGTTGTTTCGGCAGTTCTGGATGAGCGGAAGTATATAAAATAAGGACGACACTTTGTCGCCGGACGGCAAATGTCGCTCTCTCGCGCGGGAAATCGCGTCGAAGGGATCTCTTCGAGGCTTCCTTCTTTCTCTCTTCGCATCCCTCGTGATGTCGTGCGTGACTGTCGTTAGCGAGAGGGCAAAGGCACGGGGAGGGGATGGTGGTGGAGGGAAAGCGACGCGTTGCCGTTCTATCTGTCTAATTACTCGGTCTCTCTAATTATTACCGTTGTTACCGGGGATAAGAATCACGGAAGCTTCGTCCTTTTAACCGAAATTCCAAGGGATATTTCGCGAACGACGACACTCCGCTCCAGTTCTGCGGGAACACTTCGAGAATGAAGTGAAGTGGCGTCGCTTAATAACGCGCCGCGAGACGTCGCATCAGGTTGGAAGAGGGAGCGAGCGGGAGAGAGAGAGAGAGAGAGAGAGAGAGAAGAAGCAGCTTAGTTAAAATTAATCAATTAAAATTAATTAAAACGACTTGCTCGGAGCGGCGACGGGGGAGTTGGGCGACGGCGAGGGTGGCGGACGTCGTCCGCAAGGGACGCGGCGACGCGGACGGCTGAATTTTCGTTGCTCGGCGAAATTAATAAGGGACCGCAAAAATGGCGGTGCGCCCACTTTGCCATGTCGTGTTCAAAATCGCTTAACTACTCTTAATATTTCACGGTATATACCGGTGCTCGCGCGCGCACGGCCGGCCGTGCTTGTCACGCGATGTGGACAAGCCAGTTTTGGTCAACGTACCTTCGCCTGATTCCGTGTCACGTGGATGGCGCCGAGGCAATAATTTTACTTAGAACAACGTAACGCCTCGCCGCCATATGCGGGGCCTGGCTCTGTACCGCAACCGACACACACACATACACACCCACGCAAATACACATATCAGGGAATTGTGTACGACCGTACGTATGAAAATAAGAAGCCGACCTCGTTCTCGAATACAACAACGGTCGTCCTTTTAATCGAGATACCAGATATCTGCGCGCTGCCGAGCAAAATCTCAGTGAAGAAAAAAGAGGGAGAAGCAGAGAGAGAGAGGGAAAAAAAGAGAGTACATGAGCGCAGACGAAGAAGCGCGATAACGCGTTGCACGGCTTATTATAAAAAATAATGTACCCTGCATTCGTTATTGGATTAATAATCAGAGAGTGTGTGCGCGCGAACGCGAATACGTTTGAAATTGTATAGTTATACAAGCGTGACTAGAGTTCCCTTCAAGTCAGAGTTAGGACGTCGTCCGCCATTTGCAACAGTAGCAAAGATTTTGGTTACAGCAGCAAATTTTTAGTTATAGCAACAAGACAAACCATAATTAGGTGCGGCAGTAAAGTCTTTTTTTCGGGGTTGTTTTTCCATCGTGCACGATGAACTTGGGTGCCTAAGATCAGTTAGAAATTCGACTATACGATTGAGTTCGTTATTCTCTGCCTGTGAGGCTCTCTAGGCTCGATAATGATGGGCGAACGATAAGGCAGGTAAACGGCGAAGCAAATTAATCCGCACTTCGAGCGACAAAGTCGCTGCTCCGTTCCGTTCTATCGTTCGTGCGGTCGGAGGCACCCGTCACGTGCGCGAGGATCGTTCGTGTAAACTGGCGAACATTTCAGCGATGTGTCGCTGATACCTCCCCGCCATTTTTGAAGGTACGCATTAAGAGACGCTGTACTTCAGCACGCGTGAGAAACATTGCTCTTACCGCGGGGCCGCTTTACTCTGTAATCTAGCAATCCGCTAATCTAATCGCCGTCGGCGATCTTGCCCGCTTGCGCGGCCCGAAATTATTGCAAATTTTCATTGGGATCGTTAGAACGCGATCTTCGCGCAACGTGCAACTCCTAAGTCGAGATAAATGGCTTCTCGTGAACCAAAAAAATAGCTCCTCTCTCCCTCTCGCTCTCTCTTTCTCTCTGTTTAATTATTATCTTAATAGACACTGAATTGTAAGTGGAAATCGAGATTGCTGATTTTGATATTCAGAAAGAACGTCCCGCAAAAGAGACGTACAATTTTAAAACTCAGGCAAATTTGCAGAATATATAGCGTAGATAATTATTATTAGTGGACAGATCAAATTGTGAAAATTGAAATTACTAATTTCGATATTCAGGTAGGATATTTGCAATTTTAATGCTAACTTTGACAAATTTATAAAGGATATAATAAGAATGGAATAGAATATATATGCGATAGAATATGATAGGAGTGAATTTACCTTAATTGAAATATCGAGAAGTACCATCGTGTCTATGGAATATCTCTAATTTTCGATATTATATCTGTTTTTGCAACTGAACGAAGCTTTTCGAATTCTATTCAAGTAAGATTCACCCACAATTAGCCGAGGAATATGAGAAATTCCGTGAACAATTCTATTGAAACTGCACATCCTTATATAAACAAGTTCCATATTAAAATTTTATTAAAGTTCAACCGTGAAATTAGTCGGAGGAATATAATTTCGCGAACTATTTGCCTGTGTCGAGCTTAGAGCTTGTGAACGTCTTCTGCGATCGTTTGTAGCACTGATACCGCCAAGGAGGAAGTGGATCCCAAATTCGTCAGTGAATCTTTAGTTTAAATTCCGGATACGGACCACTCTCTGTAAGGCTATAAAAATTCGAAACGGATAAGTCTTATCGACAGGACGAAATAAATGTTACGGCGGCTCCGCGATGCGTATTGAAACTGCCCTCGTGAATTTCTCTTTCTCTCTCTTTCTTACTCAAAGTTAACTCAAAAGAGAAATAGATTAAAGAAATGGAAGGAGAAATTGACTAATTTGTTTTTTTATTAAATAATATTTCAATACAATAAACACATGTGCGGGACTTGACGTGGATAATTCGAGAGATCGTGACGTGAGCTGATACTTTCCTCGTGAATCGCTTTCCTCCCGTCATTGAGCCAATCCCCCCTTCCTCTTTTGACAGAAATTTAAAACCAAAAGAGGAATCAGCTTGATTATTTTTTATTACATAGTTTCGCGTACATTGATTCGAGCAACCGTCAGGCGAGGCTTCCCTCGTCGGATATTCCTCTCCCCTTTCTTCTTTCCAGCGAAATTAATTCCAAAATTAAGAGAGGGGAATCAGATTGATTATTTGTTCTATTAGATAACCCGCGTCGTGCAAAATGCGAAGTTCAACGTGGGTGATTCGAGTAACTGTCAGTCGAAACCCTTTCGAACCGCTCTGCTTCCGTCGGCGAGCCGCGGCTCCCCTCTCTCTTACTCTTTCCCACTGAAATTAATCGAAAACCCAAATCAGATCGATTATTTTCTCTTCTTTTCATTAGATAATCCGTCGTACGACGCGCGGAGCTCAACGATTCGGGTGATTCGAGCGACCGCGGGCGACGTGGTACTTTCGATATTAGCTCTCGTGTGTATACACCGACATACGAGCCGATTTCGATTACCCTCCATCAGCTGAGGTTTAGCGCACTTGTATCCTGTCAAACCGCGAATGTCAATACCAGTAGGAGGACAATGTCGTGGATTCTGTAGCCGCGTTGACCGGCTCGGCCGTGTTGCCCGCGATTCCGGGAGTAATCGTTCGTGTTCGCCCTGCCGGCTCGGCCAGGGCATCAACGTTGTTTTAACCAGATGCCGTGCACGGCCGCCATAAATCCGGCATACCCGCCCGGTCGGGCTCGATCTCACACGCTCCGAATACTTCTTATAGCGCGCGAAAGCTCTCATGTCGCCGTTTTACCACCGCAACCGCGGCCGAGGCCTCGCGCATACGTCACCGCTTGAACGCGCGCGATCTCGCGCTGTTATTGGATTATTAGCGACCCAGAAACATTATTTATGCGAGTATTCTTCGGCGCACACTCCTGCGCGAGTTATCGAGGATTTATTTGCCCGTATAGTCCCTGCAAGAAGTCACTGAAACTTAGAAATACGCTTCCCTCTTAGACTGGATTTAGAAAACTCTTCTATTTTTCATACGAAAACATACGTAAGATACGTACATCACACACATTTTTTTTGTAATTTAGTTACTTCATCTCATATCTGACTTTTAGATTTTCATCTCTCTGAACCGCAGTGAAACTTTGCATATTTTTTTACAAACTTTGCAGTATTCTGAATACTTAAAATATATGTGAAAATATAAATAACACACACGCGGTTCATTGTTTTTCACACGTATTTAATTAATTATTCTTACATTTCGCTAAGGTCTCTCTCTTTCTTTGTTCGGATTTCTTTTTTAATTTTTATTGAATATATTTTAATTTAGTTTTCAGGCATTTTATTACGAGCAACTTGCATTTTTATGTGCTTCCGTTGTGAATTTATTACTTTCGTTTTTTCTTACTAATGTTTCCACTCTTGTTTAAGCCTTTATTTGATAATATTGCTTTCAAGCAACATCGATTTTTCATGTGCTTTTTGCGAGCACGAAAAGTATTATTATTTTTGTATTTAGAACTAAAAAACATATTTGACATTACCATGTTTTTACTTCTGCCAAAGTATCTATCCTTGAGAAAGCAAAACATGTATAACAACAAATTGAAATTTTTGCTTCTAAACATTTGGTTGATTCTGAATCAAAATTTTTGGTTCGGTGTATCGAATTTTCGTTTTGACCACAAAACGCTTTTTTCAGTGATACATTTGTTTAGCATTGTTCCTCTGAAACAACACCTGTTTCAGTAGTTTTGATTCTCGCCATTAAGAGATGACAAAAATAGAGATGGAAAATATGTATATAAAATG